GCCGCAGTGACCCAACAAGCTAAACTGGCTGGGACTCATGTCCCTGCAGGTCCTACCATGCCAGGAAGGTTGTTTGGATAGCGGTTAGACTAAAAGCAGTCACCATGGGGTACATGGGCTCCAGAATCTAATCGGATCAAATGGCGTACGAACCCATATAGGTCACCGGCAACCATGGGAACGCAGTACCTGACGCTGCTCCGTTGCCTTGCGGGTTGTTTTATTTTTTATTTTTATTTACAGCTTGATTCCACACCGTATTTTCGGTACAAGTATGGAATTTTCAGCATGGATATCGGTAGCCCAAATCCAGGCCGACCATAGATATCGGGTGTGCGCCGGCAGGGGATCGAACCCCGGACCATGTTCATGGTCAGCGAGAGTCCTAACCACTGTGCCACCGACTCCAAGTCAAAGGCTCGGGGGGTGGTCCCTTAAGAAAACCACCTGCTTCGGTCTGGGCACCCAGGCAGTATCTCAGCCCTCACACAATGAATGAAATAAAGCAACAAAATATCAGTGGAACTTATCGCGCGCTCGTAACAATGCGTTCAAGCAATAATGATGTCTCAAGTAATACATATCTTTCCAACCTTACTTTTATTTTTATACTTAGTTTCCTGTATTTTACCTTTGCTCACCTTGACTTCTTAACCTTCGACAGCCTTTCGCCTTTGTCTGGATTCCTAGCCTATCTGTGTCGTGTTGCAATTTCCTTCTTTCTTCCCTTCCTGATGATAGTAAACGAATACTGTTTGAACGTGTTAAACATGACTGTTTTCCTTCCTGATGAAGTTCTTTATATTTTTACTTTTAATCTATGTTGTTTTATTATTATTGTGTGGCGCATCTTTCTTGGTGCCATATTGTACCAAGTTTTTCTGCGCTTAAATAAATAAATAAATAATAAGTTTCAGCTTACATGTCTACCGGTACATTTCCATGTTTTAAGCACATAAAACGAGGAAATTATAATACACGGTAAGTACGTCTACCTAATCATTGTTTCAAATGAGACAGAGACTGGATTTACATCCGAGTAAAACACATTTGGCTTCCTCTGTCATCGACTCCTAACTTTTGAACAATGAGCTAGAGTTCTAAACTCTAACATTCCATAGGGGCCAGTTTCATCCCTTTATCTCTTCACAATTCAATTTCGTACTCAAATTTAAACATAAACGTTACTATTCTTTAATATCCACAAAGTCGTATTACAAGAAAAAAGGAGAAATACAGAAAAAAAAGTTGAGTTGTACACCCATAATTTATTTAATTGCTATTTGAAAAATAATGTACATTTTTTAAAAATCAAACTTTAGGTTGATAGCAATAAATTTCTGGAAAATAGACGACTCAGTACAACTGCTTTACAAAAAATCAAGTGGGATATGTCTTTATGCAATGAGCTATTTAGCATTATAGCTGGCATTTTGCTGATTTTTAGGGTTTTCTGGTGATGTTTGAAACATTTTGAATATCATTTGCTTAAGTTGTGAATGTCGCATAGACGGATTCTCGGCTTTCAGTTGAGGCATCATACGCTCTTCAAATGCTTGATAGGCAGCTTTTAGACGTTTTTCTGGATGTTTATCAATATCACCTTCATTGCCCAAACTAAGGAAAAAACAGATACGGCGGCTTTCAATGAAACATGGGTTAGCGATTATAATTTTTGGCAAAACGTCTAAGGTAAAAATCAAATGAATGTGTCGGTAAGTTACAGGATTTCATCATGAGCTGACATCGGTTAGAGAACCATCGGAAAACCTGCTGGGAGTACTGGACAGATGTTTCATCCTACTCCGGGACTCCTCAGAAGTACACGCCCACCGCCAGGGTTCAAATCCAGGACCTCCCGGTTACAAGGTGAGCTCGTAGACCGGGATCCAATCCAATGGCCCATGAATTCCAACCTCTGTCAATTCACGATATAGATCAACCACCAGCTAATGTCATCTGACTTACTGGTTTCAACGTAGAAGTTTGCACCCATGTGCAACAGTTCAAATCGCCACAATTCACTTAGCACACAAAGCAAGAGAAGAAAGTAAAAAGATCCAAAACAGAGATATGAGGCAAAAAGAATAGCAATATGGATATTATAAGTCACAAGGAGTGAATGCATCTGCGCTAGCCAATGAGAACGATCCTGAGCCACATCACCAATTGTCTCCAGTCATCGCTTCTCAGCATCTCGAGGGCCCCAGCGAGCCAGGAAGTCGACACCTTCCTACGTGACTGGCTTAAACTAACTGTTGTCAATTTCATTGACTGATGAAGCCATCTTTTGGTTTGACCACCACTAGCTAACTTTTTTCCATCCTGATCCATCCTATGTCAGCCAACATTGCCCGTCGAGGAAGGCGATAGCTACGCTAGGCAAGGCGTAACACATGTCCTAATCATCTCAATCGATATAACTTCACAACCTCATCGATTCACTTTCCCTCCTTACCTAGCACTCGACGCCTAAACTCAATATTACTCACCCTATTATACCACTTCACACGGGAGATAGAACGCAGGCATCTATGATCAAAGGCAACTAGCCTCTTCATGTCTTCCACTTTCAATGGCCAGGTCTCGCTCACAACCATAAAGGACGGGGAGGACTACTGAGCAGTACGCACGCCCTTTGGTCGACAGCCAGCCGGATATCACGTCTACGCTAACGTCATCGGCGAGTATCTGTCCTTACAGCCGATGGTTCTCCAACCGATGTTAGTTAGCTCATGATGAAATCCTGTAACCAATCAGATCAAATCCCTGCAAACCAACACTTGAATGTGTCGATAATTGAATAATTACTCATTCTTGTCCAAAATAGGCGGTGAAACTACACATACTATAAGAACTATTGGTGGATTGTATCTGGAATATTAAATAGACGATGCTCAATATAAGATTCTAATTAATATCAATCAAATTCTTAGTCAGAAAGATAAAACACTCCACTATTCATACCACGAATAGAATCGTCTATTATGAAAAAAAAATGACCGTGGCGTCAAGATAGTGGGTCGGAAACATCTGGTCAAAAGCTCTTCACCAGTAGCTGTCCTGACGATGTGTCATGAAGTCTACGGACCACATTGCAATTACAAGTTGATACTGATTGAATTAGTGAGAAAAACTAAATCAATTACTTGAATGTAGTCTGAAAAGACATACCTGAATGCTAATACATAATATACTATAAACACATCAGCCTGCCAAAATCAAGTTTCACCTCAAAATGAGTCACAATTAACACATTTATTTATCTAAATCTCAGCTATCCTATGTTAAGGTAATTATTTCCGGTAAATTGACTGACAATAGGTGTGCAAAATTTAAATCTTAGGCAGATTGTGCATAAAAAGTGAAAGCGGAACAACAAATGTTTATTTCAGTTATTTGACTTTTGACGACATTTCCTTTCACTTAGAATTCTAGAGCATTCTAAAATCTCACCTTATGATAGCTTGACAGCTATCATATGAAAAAGCGATTTCGACTACAATCAGACCACTTTATGGATCTGTCACGTTGAAATACTAAAAAATTCATACTACCTGACTGACTGGTTTCAACGTAGAACTTTGCACCCATGTGCAGCAGTTCGAGTCGCCACACTTCACTCAGCACACAAAGCAAATCAAGGAAGTAAAAAGAAATGCAAAATAGAGACAGTAAACAGAGATATGAGGCAAAAAGAATAGTAATATCGAAGAACCATATAGTTTTATTGGGTATTATAAGTCACAAGGAGTGGATGCATCTGCGCCAGCTACTGAGAACAATTTTGAGCCATATCACGAATTGTCTCCAGCCTTCATTGGTTTTTACCAACCCCAGGACCCCAACCAGGAAGTCTACACCTTCCTACGTGACTACCTGAGCCTAATTTGTCTCGTTTCAGCTAGATTCACAAAACTGCAAATAATTCCATTCAAAGGTGGTTATTAAAAATCCCCAACCAATTTTTACTGAAACAATATAATTCTGTAAGCCCCATTATTGAGGCAAATATGTAATATCCAAACTCTATAATTGTGATAGAGTATGGTCGCTTTTGCGTTAATCACACCAAAAGTTTACACATTGCAAAGCTTTAAGAGAGTAAAATTTAATTTGTATGAAACAATAATCAAGAAATCACTTCTAATAAAGACAAAAATATTTAGATGTCGAGGTAATTAAACTGACTGCATATCAAGTAGAAATGAGATGGACTGGAGAATATCTTAATTTTTTTCACACTGGAAATATCCGACTCTCAATGAGTGACCTACAACGAAAAATAGTGAAGACGTTCTAACATTTCCTTATCAAACTCATTACAAACTCTGCATTCATGTATCCTACTGTGCTTAGTATTCCTGAATCACCGATTGCTAGCTACATTACGATTTGTGAAGCACTACAACACATCGTAATACGGGTGATTAATTATGAATTTGTGACAGTTCTAATACATTTTCAACATAAGCGATAATGTCTCCACTAACTATACCAATTGTATTGAAAATCCCAACAGCTACAACTTTCGTTAGTCTCGCAACACAGTTTTACAAAAGGTGTTTACTTGCCGTTTGTTTCTTATCCTGGCAATTCTGTAGTCCTTAAGTATTGAGGGGTACTTTTGAACGTTAGGGTGGATACTCAGCACAGAATAACTACGTTATCCCCTGACTTGTTACCAGGGAACAGTTTTGTACAACTAGAGTATGAAGACGATATTCCCCTCCCTAGTGAATACGCCAACAAAATGCAGTCTTCTGAACACCTTGAGCAACAATCTTCTAGCGTTTGGTATGCGACTCAGCGTTTAAAGATAGGCATTGAAGTAGTACAGCGTGTTCACTACTTCACTTATTCGGACAGATAGCTGACGAAGTCTCAGCACAGATAAAAAAGGCTTGTGCCCCATTCACCTACCTACGTCATCTCTGGAGTGCATGTGATATCCAGTTATCGATCAAAGCGTATGTGTACTGCTCAGCAGTTTCCTCTGTCCTCATTTATGTCTGTGAAACATTGCCACTAAAAGGAAGATAAGAAAAGGCTGGTTGTCTTTGACCACAGACCTCCCGTGTTAAGCCGTACAACAGGACAAGTATTATTGAGATTAGGCGTAGTGTTACGAAATGAGGATTAGTCAGTCGACGAGGTTGTGAAGCTACAATGATTGAGATAACTAGGATACGTTGCGCATCCCGAGTCATTGCCTTTCCCAACAAGCAATGTTAGCTGACATAGGACTATGCAGGATTAATAGGGGTGTTTATACTTAAAAGTGTCATCTGTCCATGAAGTCTTTAATAGTTGGTTTGAGCCAAGTAGGGAGTTGTAGACTGTGTGATTCGGGTCTTCAGGATGCTAAGAAGTAACGGCTGGCGACTGCTGACGATATAGCTCAAAATCGTTATCAATGGCGGAGACGCATTTACTCTATGTGATTCCACACATCCACTAAACCGCGATGGTTTTCTATGTTTCTATCCTTCTCCATTACATTTCTGCTGATTATGATTACGTTTACCCTACTTTTCCTCTTTTTTTCTACCTTTTTATGCTACATTGAGTGTTTTAGCTTGAACTGCTGCACATCTGTGCAGAGTTGAAACTCAGTCAGTCACGCTCTAATCAAGTATAACTCCCGATGCTTCTGCACCACATTCAAGGACTTTGTCGGATGTCTGGTTACAATGTAAACAAAAGAAGTACCTGAGCGAACCAAGCTACTGCAAATTCAGAATAATGAGATTTAAATAAGAGTGAAGTGATATTGCACACCTAAATATAAGCGATAAACGGAGTGTAGAAAACAAACATTAAAAACAATCATCAAGAGTGGGTAGTCGAAACAACGGATTGTGATCCCTATTTTGTATGATTTAGTCACACAGCTTTGGAATTCAGCTACCTTAGTTTATGACTGAGAGACTGGTTATGGTAGACTATGATAACCAAATCTAGAAAGAAGATAATGAAAGCTACAACTGCACAAAATGCAGCGTTAACCAATAAACGTTTAGCCACTCCTCCAGGTGATAATCGTAAACTGTGAAAAGCGAACTACACATAAATAAAGATTTCAGATAAATTTTTCATCAATTAGCAGCTGGTGACCCACACTTACTATGTGAGTACAATTAATAATACCTAACATAAAGAACTATGCAGTATATCCCTAGATAAAGTTTGACACCGGTTCCAACTAAAAAACGATCCACATTAGTGCATCTGAACCTCATGGATACAATGAAAGTGTAAGATCAGCCTGTAAATGAACGATCCCCTTACATTCTACATTAAAATTAGCTAAAATGTTTACCTCAGAATAGATATAGCTTCCTCAACAGTTCGTGCTTCCAAACCCTCCGTCTCAATTCGGTTAGGATTCACAATGAGTTCTTCAGGCTCAGCTTTCTGGGAAGTTTTGTTCAGAGCTGACAGCTGACTTTCCAACTTCTCACGAGCAGCAGCAATTTGGGCTTGTGTCAGCTTTGATGGCTGCTCTTTATTTGCAGTTGATTTGGCCGACTTGATTGATGCAAGTTCCTCGTTATATAACCTTTCTTTCTCCTTCTTTTTTTCCAATAGTTCTTGACGCTTTGAATCTTTTTCTTCCTTGAATACATAAGACATTTAGAAAGGTCCTACATACTTTTCTCTGTTGCTTCCTACTTAAAAGTTTGTCATCATCTTTCCAGTACTCATCTTCGGCCTTTTTTATTACTTGTGCACGCTCTTCTCGTTTTTTCTCAGCTCGCCTTTCTCGAGCCTCTACTGCTTTTGGACATGTCCCGAGTTTCTTCGGCATAAAACAACAAATAAACCTAGCGCTATTTCTGCTCCAAGGCCATGTTGATAGAAAGCTACATTCACAATGGACATCATCATAATTTGAGGATAGGATGAAAGACCTTAGATCAAATAGTTTCGAACAGTGAGTATGACTTTCGATCTTATTAAATGGTTATTCTTTTAGGGAAAATAAATATACAAATGAATCTGAATTGCGGTAAACTACTGAAATGATGGATTTATTTTCTTTCAGACACTCGTCAAATTTTCGATGAAGTAGTTCTTCTTTCTTTCATTTCCATTTCTTAACTTTCAAGAATATGGTTTTTCTAGAAAACTGTATTTAATAAAACAGGGAACAATATCTATTTTCTCGTCGAATCCCTCGGCCCAGGAAGTACGATTCACATAACCGGGTATAGAAATGCAACCAGCTGTCATTGTGTGGAGAATAAAAACATAACAGCGTGCCAAAATGACAGTTTCCATAATCGAGTAAAGAAAATATTCCACTTCTGAATAACAGAACACTCCCCCATACAACACCTCTAGCTACTGGCTAATTTGTAGAAAACTGGTGATTGATGCTGGACAAATGGTCTCTTCCCGTGAGTGAGAAGATTGTCCAAATGAAAGACCCTGCCGTTGTTGCACAGAAATGAAGCTAAATCAAGAGTCTAATGTATGGGCTCTAGCTGAAAGCTTCCCTGACGTCAAGAAATAATGTCGCTGATGTGTATCCATTATCCATATGTCCCATGATGTCAAAATAACCTTCCAGGATAAGGAGAAGTATACGCCAAAGGTTTTCTAGGTAGGTCTACGATCTTTGCTCTCCATGTCTTATGCTCTGAGGAAAGGTACACTAAGCAACTTACACATCCTCTAAGCAGTTTCGTACCTAAAACTATCTAGATGTGTCAGTTTCTGGTAGGTGGCCTTAGAGCCTACTATTATTCCCTTGGGTTCCTGGTGGAACATGTTGAAAATACTGGGCTTCAACAGCGCATCTCCATTTCACCCTGTTTTCTGTGATTTTTTAGCTGGCTTCATGGCTTACTACAGGCTTTCCTTCTCAATTAATCTCCTGTGAGTCACTTACTGGTGCCCAATTCACGGTTTCTCATTATGACTACGCTCCACAGCTTCGCTCACTGTATCACTCAACGGGACCCTTATGGTGTGTCCAATTCATCTCCATTATCTCCCGCATATTTTTCGAATGACAGGTCCTTGGCTGGCTTGTTGCACGAGTTCCCTCATGCCTATCCATTCTGCTGAAAAGGCTTCTGGTTACTTGCGAGGTCTTTCAACTATGTAGAAGAACTGACTGACCTGATATTGGTGATGAAACCCCAATCTTGTTATTTATGTTGAGTGCAGTATATTTCCAAAACTGTTTCAGATTAATGAAGGTCTATCTCGCCTTTGACACCTTCATCTGAGGCACATGTAGTTGAAACGATTCTGCCTAGTAAAGTGGAGGAGGTAACATCCCTCGAATTTCACACCTTCATCACCTTTTTCTGGATCCAGCTTGTTCTGAGTGGGGTTCTGGATCTTTGGAACTCCCCAGGCTGGTGGGACATAATATTTGCCTTGGCGTGGACACAAGTACGGTTTAACGTCAGTGCTTAAGTCATACTTATTTCGTAGTTCTCACTGCTTTTATCACTATTGTCGTTAATAACATGTAAAGGTGAACACATTTCAAAGACCTGAAGTTGCTGATGATTAGAAGATCAAGAGTGTTTTTTGCTGCAAACTCAACTAAACCCCGGTAGACAGATGATGACACATTTATACATTAAATCTGCCTCCTCCAATTTCAAGATTTATTGTAACCTATGTAACAGCCTTCCCTTAATAGGCTGAGTGAAGTATTTATCTCTGTATATATATGTGAGTTAAATCGACGTCCGCTGGGTGACTCCTCACGTGGGACAGAACACAACCAGTATCCTCTCAATACTACCACAGGGGTTGCAGCTGGAAACTTTAACACTCCGTCCCGCAACGTGGGGTCGGGGCTTGTTCAAAGAACATGAGGTTTTAGTGTTCTAGTTCCTTTCCAGTGCTAAGACTGGGTCTCCATACGTCACAAGACGTACTATAAAGTCTAGGGTCACCCAGTAAGCGCTTCGTGACAGGAGAACACTGAAGGGCGGGACAAGTGGTCAGGTAAGCACTAAACCTTCTTGATAATTAGTTAGGTACCCTTCCTCCGTGGGACAGTATCAGTCAACACATGGCCTTTCGTGCGCTTGACTAAGTTTCGCCTGTCAGCTAGTATTTCAGTTAAAAAATGGTGTCAAGGAATTTAGCCCTAAGTTCCTATTGTAACGAAGACGCTTTGAACCGATAACGACTATGTATTTGTCCAAACTTTAAATCCAAAACACCAGTATTTCTTGAAAGAATTTATATTGTTTGGCAATTGAGGCAAGGCAAAATGCAAAGTCTACAAACAAATGTTTAGTACAAATGAAGTTATAAAGTACTTTTACTCGTGTTCTTTCCGCCTTCTTCCAGGGTGATGATATACGTTAGAACGTGTTAAATTTTCCGCGCCTCAGGCTTTCTCGCCTTTCATTGGCTGGGACAGTGCGCGGCTAATTTTATATTTAATTTGTCCTAGGTACGTGATATCGCGTGCAGGTTTGTGTGGTTTAGGTATGCGTTGTTTGCAAGCATATTTGATGAAAATAAATGTAAAATTTGATTATTCTAACGTTTTATTTTACTTTTTTGTGCATGTACAAGGCTTGGTTTATCATGTACTCCGTTTGTTGGCCTATCGGTTGCTGGCGATGTCAAGGAACCCGTGAGTTCTTGGGCTTTTCTCAATTTTAGGTTATACGTGTAGCATTTTATTGATGGATATTGCTCAGTGATGTATTTCAATATTGCTTTTTCTACGGAATTATATTTAAACAGTTGCGAGACAGATGGATACTTATTGACAAAGCCTTTTTAGTTTATTGCAGGTAGGCAATGCGAGTGAAAGCATTGCACACGTCAGTGGAATTTTTGGTGAAGTAATCCTGGGAAGGCGTTTCTTTAGCTGGGAGGAATTTGAGAATTCATTATGAGAATTTCGAAAAGTGAGGAAGTCATTTGATGCTAACAATGTAGTTGTCCTGCACTCACTATGTGGTTGCCGCAGATTACGCGGGAGAATTAATCGCACAAATAGACCATTTTCTTAATGTGTAAATTAACTACTTTCGTATTACAATAAAAATAAACTTTCCTATTAACGTTGTTGTCTTTCTGTTCGTGTGTTCGCGTTGTGAGTACGGGATGCTAGACCGGTGCTCCCTGGGATATGAATTCGTTACTATACGTAAGTGCAATTCTGTAGGAACACTATCCATCGATAAAAGTGGTGAATTATAAGTACTTCATTCAAGTCTAAAAATCTGCCTAGAAGTACGCGATTACGTCTCCCAGTCATAGATAAATCTGTAGGCACTAATGACAAAAATACCTAACTGCAGAATTTGAAAAATAAGAATAGAACTTAGGCCCTGCAGTTGAGTTCAATTTCGTATGAAGTTAAATATAATCACAAGTAGTGTATTACTATTATTTTACTTAAAGCGTGATGTCAATCCATAAGCCTGCGGGTGTTAACATATAGTGTAAAATGAAGTCTACACGAGACGAGTAATTTAATAGGTTGAGCTGCAGCAATATTAGTACGATTTCGCTTACGTTGAATTATGCCTACAATTACTTTCTCAGGTCTCATTGATAGGTCAGGCCTCCATCTCGTCATAGTGACAAATTTAGTTTCACTGAGATAGAATAAGAAAAGTATGGTAAGCAGGATGTTAAATATATTTTATGAAAAATAATAAGCGAATGTCTTTACACAATCGTTTTTCGGAATTACTTCGGGGATAAGTAATTGCTGTGACCAGGTTGACTGACTTCACCGAACATCTGCAAGTAAGTGAATAAAGTGTAATTTTTAAATCATTGAAGTCAGAAATAAGTAATGAAAAAGTGAAACGCTTTACATTTTCCTACCTTTACTGAAAAAGATTCATTCTCCTTTCACATTCTTTGGTCATGACAGCATTCTTCTGCGGTTTTCACTGTCACAAACATTGTTCCTCCTCCAAAGTATAGCACCAAGCAAATAATAATTTAATATGTCGTATAAACGGGTGTTTACAAGGAATGCATGACATCTCCACAGGCACAATAAGTTAGGTTATGAATCGCAATCACCTGAGCGATTTTAACTAGAAACTTCATCGAAATGAATATAATCACCAGGAAATTCAGCAGATTGTCTCATTCATCGCATGCTCTCTTCGATGTGTTATGGAATATTTCAGTCATCACGGATGGTGATAAAAAAGTGTTTGGCATCCTCTAAACGTATATTTAACTTGTGTCTGTGGGCTAGTTCTCCTTCAAATGTCTCGTTATCATAGAATAACTGCTATGAAAACAACCATTGGCTATAGTTAATTTTCAACCTCAATATCCCCAAAAAACTAGCAAATGACAAACGATTACAGCTCTAAAACGCAAATAATAGTCTATTTACGCTAAATTTCTTACATACTATGAGTTCTTGAAGTAATATATCCTCTGGGATATCATGACAGTTTTATCCACTAATACGAACACAATACTGGAAAATGTTGCTTTTTCTGCTATAGAAGCCTGGAACCAGTCATATATAATCTACTTTCACAAAAATAAACGCTTATAACGCCCATATAGGCGTGAACACGATAACCCATACAGTGCGCGATAATATATCACGATAACATTTATCATCACCCCTTCTTCCAACTTGAATGAGATCGTACCATTCGCGCATTCGAGTTGCACACAAATGACTGCCAGTTCCAATAAACAAACGTTCAATATTCACGTCCACTGACACTCCCCGGCAAAAAGGGTCCATCCCGTTGTTCCACAGAGGCGGTATCCTTGAACTGAACTGCCAAAGCGAGAACCTGGGCCAATCGGGACCAGGCTAAAATGGAAAAGCAAGACAAAAAGGCCCAACACACAACACGCATACCACATCACACCGACACGCTTTCCCCGGCGCATGGGATCTACGCTCTCTGTTGACAGTACCACCAATGATCTGGTTCACGAAGTATTGGTTGCTTCATACCACTCTGGCACAATCCCCTCCCCGGCGTGTCAAATCGCGTACAATTACTATAACAACACTCGATTCGTTCACAAGTTTAGAAGTACTTACAAAA